TTAGAGGAAAAGTTGGAAACGACTCTCCTAGAATTGGCCTGGCAAAGAGTTTATGGAAGAAGTCCCCAAAGGCAATCACAGCAGCAACAAAAATAAATAAATAGGACATGATCAAACTGAAAAGCTTCTGCCGACAGCCCAAAGACAATAGTCCCTGAAGTAACACGACAACCTACAGAATGGGACGAAAATTTTGCCATCCTATGCATCCAATATAGCGGACTTGATAACTAGAATGTATACTTAGAACTCACGGAAAATTAGGAAGAAAAAATCAAATAACTCCTTAAGAAGTGGGCAAAGGACGTTGAAGCAGAAAGTTTTCTAAAGAAGACGAGAAAGGCCAATCCTTTTTTTTTTTGATGTTCTTTTTTTTTCGAACAAACATATGCAAGAATTGCTCACATCTTTAATCAGTCAGAGAAATGCAAATCAAAACCACAATGAGATATCACTTAACCCCAGTGGAATGGCCTTTATCAAAAATCTTCAAACATAAATGCCTGTTGGTGCGCGAGAGAGAGGAATCACTCCCTGCATTGCTGTGGGACTGCAAACTAGTGTCAACCTCTGTGGAAAGCAATATGGAGATACTTAAGCGGATACAGCGTGGAACTCTACATTTGATCCAGCAATTCCCATTTCTGCTGGCATCTACCCAAATGATCCCAATGACACTCTACAAAAAAGATACCTGCCACTCGAATGTTATAGCAGCAAATTCATAATTGCCAAGGCTGTGCCAAACAGCCTAAGTGCCATCAATCCAAGAATGATTAATAAAATGTGGTATATTATACGATGGAGTATATTCAGGCTCTAAGACAATGGGGTATAGCACATCATTATATTTTCCTGTAGAGCGGAACCTGACTACTAAGTGAAGATTCCCAAGAGGAAAACAGCACCAGATTATTCCCAGCAACTGTTGTTATTACTGATTTAGCACCTAAGTGGGACACATAGTGGTCAGTAATGGTGTAATTGTGCAGTTGGAGTGTGGTAGGGGTGTTCGGGTATATCTATAATGTGTGTGATGTGCACATCTGGCGGATCTGGTTGATGGATACTCAGACTTTTTGGGGGATTGGGGGAAATGGGCATTTATTGAAACCTTTAAAATCTGCCTACCCCCATGATATGGCCAAAATAAAAAAAGGAAAAAAAATCTCCAACCCTCTGCTTGGGCGTGGTTGCGGAGGAGGAGGAACCTCCTACACTGGCTGGTGGGACTGCAACTAGTTCAACTCGGTGGAAAGCAATATGGAGATACCTTAAAGTGATACAAGTGAATCTACCATTTGATCCAGCAATCCCATTGCTGGTATCTACCCAAAGATCCAATGACACTCTACAAAAAGATACCTGCACTCGAATGTTTATAGCAGCACAATCATAATTGCAAGGCTGTGGAAACAGCCCAAGTGCCCATCAATCCAAGAATGGATTAATAAAATGTGGTATATGTATACCATGGAGTACTATTCAGCTCTAAGAAACAATGGTGATATAGCACATCTTATATTTTCCTGGTTAGAGCTGGAACCATACTACTAAGTGAAATATCCCAAGAATGAAAAACAAGCACCAGATATATTCCAGCAAACTGTATTAACTGAGTAGCCACTAAGTGCGGCACATAAGTGCTTGCAGGTAATAGGGGTATTTTCGGGCAGGTGGAGGGTAGGGGGTGTATATACAACATAATGAGTGCAGTTGTGCACCATCTGAGGATGGTCCATGATGGTGAGTCTCAGACTCTTGGCGGGTTAGGGGGGGAAATGGGCATTTATTGAAACCTTAAAATCTGTATCCCCATAATATGCCGAAATAAAAAAAAAGCCAAAAAAACCCCCAAACATTATTGATATTTCAGAGTATATTATGCCTAACTAAAAACGTACAAAGTGAAAATTTGAAAATTTCAACCCCAAATCCTCTTCAGCCTTGCTCCCGCTGCTGTTTATTTTTTGCCATTTATCTATTTCCTTTTCACTTTTGGATGTTATTGTTGGCTTGCAATGGAAAGCACAGTTTATATGCTTTGAACCATATGTATGAACTACAATAAACAATAAAGTCCTTTTCCTTTGCAGCAAAAAACGGAAATATGCTACTCCTTATGGGGGAAGCTATGAGGCATAAACAACATGTCCTCTGTCCTCTTGGAATAGAACTAGATGCCAGTTCAACTTCAATTTCCTCTTGGATAAGCATTTATGTATCTTTGATGATTATGGTATTTGTAATGATTGTTTAATGAGCATCTTGAATGCAAAAACAGTCATGAATTTGATTTAAGAAGACATAGTACCTGCATTCACAAATCTCAGTTCGATCTTTATTGGGTCCTTACCGCTTACCCACTACCCACTCCCAAACTGGATGAGGTGCCCTTCTCGGGACTCACCCCGCTCCTGAACATATACGTGTCACATTATTGTCATTGTCATGTTATAGGTCTGTCTCTACCTCTTGACTGAATTCCCTAAAGGCAGAGATTGCACCTGTTTACCTGCAGGTACCTGGCAACTATTTCAGAGGCTTTCACATAAACTAGCCAGCCAGTATATAGGCATTGAATGAGTACCCTTATGAAGAAAGCAGGACAGACATTTTTATTCCAATTTCACATATTAGGAGATTGGGGACCAGAGAGAGAGTGACTTATCCAAAGTCACAGAGATTATTAGCAGAATCAGAATTTGAACCAAGAACTTGACTCTCAGCCATGTTCCTTGCAGTTTTAGAGGGAGAAAAAAAGGACATAAACAACCCAAGAGAATCTTTGTTGTGTACATGGCATGGGAGAAAGTGGTAATTTTCCCAGGTTCAGTGGCTAAAATGGAAAATATTAGGGGAATTTCCAAAGAGTCTTTGCACTCTACACCTAGATTGGGACATTTGTTGATCATCAGATACCTACACTGTCATGGTTTCTTTTGCTCATGAGTTCTTTTCCCCTAACTTCCTGCCATTTCTACTTTCCCTTTAGTTCAGCTAAGAGACATTGGAGTTTTTCAAAACGGACTCACTTGAATATTTGGGGGAAACAGAAGAATAAAGAAAAAAAAGAACAAATCCCAATTCAAGAAGCCAAGCACCCAGAAGTCTAGAAGCCCTGTGTCTCGGAAACTGGTAACTAGTCCTAGGACTTTGTAGTTAGAATTTAAGTTATACTTACTTTATTATGACTATGTAAATATTACAGCTGTGCCACGTAATATACATTGATTACATTTCCTTTCTTGTAGAACTTTACTTTTTTCATGGAATACCCAGCATACTTTTCATTTGTTTCATTTCCTATATACTTATCCCTAATTATTCCCCCAAATTTCTTCCAGCACTGCAAATTTATGAGATATATTGGCACAAATTTCTTTGAGTTTTATGATCTGTATTGGCATGCATTTTTTTTGGTTTTATCATATTGAGGTTTTGCCTAGCTTCTTTTTTAGACAGAATCTTGCTCTGTTGCCTGAGTTAGAATGCCGCGACATCAGCCTAGCTCATAACAACCTCAAACTCCCGGCCTCAAGCAATCCTCCTGCCTCAGCCTCCTGAGTAGTTGGAACTACAGGTGTGCACCACCATATCTGGCTAATTCTTTCTATTTTTAGTTGCTAATTTTTTCTATTTTTAGTAGCTATGGGGTCTTGCTTTTGTTGAGGCTGGTCTTGAACTCCTGAGCTCAAGCTATCCTCCAGCCTCCGCCTCCCAGAGTGCTAGGATTACAGGCATGAGCCACTGTGCCTCGCCTTGCCTAGCTTCTTGAACTTGTAGTTTTTTGTTCTCTGCCAAGTTTGAGAAGTTTTTACCCGTTATTTCTTTGAATACTCTTTCAGTCCCACTCTTTCTGTTTTCTTTCTGGAATTCTGGTGATACAAATGCTGGTGTTTTAGCTGTTGTCTCACAGGTCCCTGAGGCTCTGTTAATTTTTTTCAGTCTATTTTCTCTTTATTGTTTAGACTGAGTAAATTCTATTGATCTGTCCCCAAGTTCACTGATGACTATATCTTCCATTATCTTGATCCTACTATTAAGCCTATCCAGCAAGGTTTTTATTTACGATATTTTATTTTTCATGTCTATACTTTTCCTTTGGTTATTTTTTATAACTTCTATTTTTTTGCTGAGCTTTTCCATTTTTCAATTGGTTTCAAGAGAATATGTAATTGCTTGTTGGAATATTTTTATGATAGTGCTTACTGTGGCAATATATCCCTGACAGGGATGCTAGGTCACCTGGTGTAGCTGGGTGGAGGAAAAGATTCTCTGGTCTGCAGGGACATAAGAGCATTTCCTGGGCTGGATCACTTGTTGTAGCAGCACCCACCCACCCCCCTTGCTTTTTCCTCTGGATCTCCTGGTATCTCTAAAGGGGCAGGTGAGTCTTATACTACAAATTATCAGAGGAGCTCCTGACCTCCCTAATGTTGGTGGTTGGGCTCTCATTTAGTCCTAGGGAGGAGTGAACCTACTGAGGCTGCCTTTTGTTGTTAGCTTGGGGGTTGGGAAACATTGTGTCTAGGTCACCTTCTTCTGTTAGATGTGGGGTTTATAAGATGCCTTGCTGCTATATTTTCCTCCAGTCTTGCAGTTCCTAACCAATCCATCCTCCTCTTTCCATCTTTCAGAATCCTTCTTTGGTTTATATATTATACTTAGCTTGGAGGTTCAGTGAAAAACAAGTCTACACTGTCTTTTCTGTCTTATAAGGAAAATTTTTTATAGTTCATCAGATGATTTTATTTGTTCTCACTGATCAAACTGGTCCAAATATGTACACTTGCACTTAGTTGGCCATCATTAAAAATTTAATATACGTATTTTTAAACAACATATTTCCTCATTTCTTTCTGTCCTTTCTGGAATTCCCATTAATATGGTATTGAATTTCCTGTACTAATTCTCTAATTTTCTACCATTTTTCTTACTTTCCATTTCTTAGTCATACTGTTCTATTTTCTATGAGATTTCCTCAACTTTGTATTTTAACCCTCTACTTAAATTTTAATTTATTACTTCATATTTTTAATGTCCAAAAGATTATTCTTGGTCTGCAAATATTCCTTTTTATAACCTCATCTTCATTATTTATAAATGAATATTTTCTTATTACTATAGCTTTTGTGAAATTATCTATATATTTCTTTGTTCCTTGTTTTGTCTTACTTTCATCCAACTATCTTTGTTTGTTTGTTTGTATGTTTGCTTTTGGTGTTGTCTTTCATGTAAGCAGCTTTCCTCAAATATATCATAATTCTTGGTCTACTGTCCATTTATGTTTAAGAGGGAAGCATTGAAATGCTAGTTGAAAGCTCCCTTTGGGGAGATCTCATCAAATGATAGGTTTCACTATAGAATTGACCAATAGGGACATGGTCATTTTTGGCGTGGCCCCCAAATGTCAGTTTCTATTGTTCTTTTATCTTGGGATCATCATTGTCTCCAGAGAGGTGTCCTTTCTCTTGCCCAGAGTACATAGGTACTACCAATGTTCTAGTTGTCAAGAAAGGGGAATATGCTGGAAGTTCACCATTTATAACAAGATTTTCCTCTCTCTTCATCCTCTCACTGTGGAACCTTAACCTTGCCCTTTGTTGTTTTTTGTATCTCCAGATTTGTATTCTTTCAGATTTAATATACAACAAATATATACACTGTCTTCAGACATTTAATTTTCAAACTTTTGTTCTTAACATTTCTATTCTAGACCTGTTGCTCTAGGAAATCTTTGGTTAATAGTAATAAAAGTATCTGGCCTCCTATATAGAGTGGAATAGAGTAGTACTAATGGACTGGCTTTGTCAATCTTTAAAATATCCTATTGTAGGAGTTTTTAATGTTAAAAAAATACTGCAAGCAGTACAGCACAAGAAGAGCACTGTTCTGAGTTGTGAGTGAGGAGCTCAGTTTTAGCCAAAATTCCCCTGTGTCACCTGGGGCATGCCCCATGCTCTCTGTGCTCCTCAAGTCCCCTTCTGTAAAGGGAGTTGAAACTAGAGGCTCCTCAAGATTCCTAAATGCTCTAAGGCATTCAGAATTCTAGAAATACTTTTATATGTATTGCTATGGTTATTTGATATTAGATGGTGTGGTACTAAAAGATAAGACCAAAGCTCAATTATTAAATATGGCCCCTTTTAAAGTTATTTATGTTCTATCTAAGAAGTGGCCAGACAATAACTTCACTGAAGAATGTAGTCCTTATGAAAAGTACTTTTTTTAAAGTAGAAAAGTGGCACAATTTATTATTCTCATGGAACAATCAGAGAAATGACACCCAGAAAGGTTAGTTGATAGTTTTAATTAACACTGAGATAAAGGCAAGATTAACAGAGCCACAGAGAGACCCAACGCCCAAAATAACAAATCCAGTACTCTAGAATAAACCAATTAGTCAAACTGTGTTCAGGGCACTTCAATCTCTAGTTACAGAAATAAAATAATCACCACACCCACCTTTGAATATACCAATATAGGTGTTAAAATTGACAAAGCTATGAAGTTGAAAAGTCTAAGGTCTATTTAGTCTCTAATCTTTTGTGCTCATTTACAAACACTCTAAAAATTAAATTTTAACTCCCTTTTGTTTCTCTATTGCATATATCTTACTAGCTTCAAAGAAGCTTCTTTAGGATATGTGTTACTGAAAGTTCGGTACTTGTCCCTGTGGCTGAATGAAGAACAAATGAAGAATGAGAACAAATGGTTTGACGAAAAGGAAAAGGAAGTTTATTAATTTGTTGGCAAATGAGGAGGATGGTAGACTCTCATCTAAGTACCATCATCCTATCTATAAGCAGAAATACAGAGCTTTTAAAGGGAGTTTTCAGCTTCGGGCTATTGCTGTTTAACTATAGCATCTCCAGGGAAAACAATCTCTCATGACCTCTTCCAGGACAATTCCATTGGCCATCTCTTGTGGTATAAAGAACAAAGGACACTCCCCTGCCAGTCTGATCACTGGCCTCAGGCAGGAACGCAGGGTTCAATTCCCAAAAAGAGTGGGGGAAGGGTTTTTAAGAGACAACTTATAATACATTTTACCCTTTTCCAGTCAGTTTCCTCTGTTACAGAAGGACGAAGTGATTCTTACGTATTGCCAAACATGAAGACTTTAACATTACTTTAGAATTTTGTCTATGATGGATTCTGAGGGTAACATTAGGAGTCAAGTGAAAGTGATTTTTTTCAAGCCATTAATTGTCATATACAATTAAAACATGAAAATATAAAGACAGTCTGGATGATTATGACAAATTTAATATAGTGTTAAAATATCAAGGAAGGAGAAAAATTCTGTATTTTCTGGAGTAGTATAACCTAAATTCATTTCATAACAAAGGGATGCCTTGACTTGATTTGAAATTCTAACATAAAGAGTTTTAGAATTTATTAAATGATGTTTGCTTTCTCCTGACTTTATAGTCTTCTAAATTATCCACATGAATAACTTCTGTAATAAACCAACTTATTTATTCAGCAAAAATAATTTTTTAAAGTGGTTATGTTGGGATATTTTTTCTTCAGAATCTGCAATTAATTATTGTAGTGCTCAACAAAAGCATAATCAACTGGGTGGTTATTTGGGATCCAGATAAGACAAAAATCCAATCCTAAAAATTTAAAAATAAACTTTAAGATGAGCATAGTGATATCATTGTTATTTCTCAGTGAGTCAATATCATTTTCTTAATATATCAAGCTCATTATATGTAAAAGTGTATCTCCAGTATCTAATCAAGACCTTCCAGACTGTGTTTCTGAGTCATTATCAGGCATGAAACAATGGTGTTTTTTGATCATTATAATGTCCAAATGACTCCAAATTACAATATAACCCAATATGGTATTTTAAAGTGAAAGGATTTTAGAAATATGATTCAACCTCTTAATTTACAGATTTGGAAAAGTGAAGTCCAAAGAAATTCAGAGACTAGCCTGAGGTTTCACAAGTACTTAGTAACTAACCTGTGACTCTCCTCTCAAGCTAGTGTCTATTTTCCTACATGTCAAAAGTAAGAACTTTTCAGTTAAAATTATAATATCTTAAGCATTATAATTCCATTCTCTTTTATGTCAGAAACTATACTGGACTGCATCTTTTCCACAAAATCTCTGTGGATTCG